CACCTCAGCCTCCCAAGTAGCTGAGACTACAGGTGCATACCACCACACCCAGCTAATTTTTGTATTTTTTGTAGAGATGTGGTTTCACCATGTTGCCCAGGCTAAGTATATGTTTCTTTAACTCATTTAACATGCTTATGTATCCTTTGCAATGTTATCTGATAACATCTGGATTATCTTGGGATTGGCTTCCATTGATTTATTTTCCCTTAAGAACAATTCATTTTCCTGGCTCTTTGTAAGTCAAGTAATTTAAGATTATATTCTGGACATTGCAAATGGTATGTTGGTTTCTAGATTCTGTTACGTTGCTTAGAAAAGAGTTGGTGTTCCTTTTTTAACAGACAATTCACTTGTTTAGATCCAAATTGCAGACTGTCACACCTGCAAGAGGGCAGTGGATCTGACCTCAATTATTTTCTTTAGTTTAAGCCTCAGTTGGAAACTGCTTTCAGTTTTCTCTTGCCCATATGGTATAGGGGTCAGCCAGAGACTTGGACTGAGTTTAAACATGGAATTATGGGTTCCCTTTCTCTAGCTGTCTCCAGGATTTCCCCATTCCCTCACTCTCTGTCTGTTCTTATTGCTACCAGTCTCCTTTTCGTGGTTTGTCTGTCTTGAAAGATGGCAGATTTTTTAATTTACATTTTAGCTGCCTGGTATTAATGCTGCAACTATGGCTGCCCTCAAGGTAAAACAATCAAAAAAGACAAAAACAAAAAAAAACCCAGTAACTTAATTTCACTCCAGTCATTTGCTAAAAATGTTGACTCCCCTCCAAACATCGCATGCTTAAGAGGAAAGCGGGCCAGGCGCAGTGGCTCACACCTGTAATCCTAGCACTTTGGGAGGCCAAAGTGAGCAAATCACCTGAGGTCAAGGAGTTTGAGACCAGCCTATCCAAGGTGACGAAACCCAGTCTCTACCAAAAATATAAAAAATTAGTCAGTTGTGGTGGCGCATGACTGTAATCCCACCTACTCGGGAGGCTGAGGCAGGAGAATCTGTTGAACCCGGGAGGCGGAGGTTGCAGTGAGCCAAGATCATGCCACTGTACTCCAGCCTGGGTGACAGAGAGAGACTCTGTTTCAAAAAAAAGAGGAAAGTGGTAACTTAAAGAGAGGAGTAAATTTTACCCCCAAATAATTTCTATTTTAGGCTGAGTGAATTCCAACAAAAGAGGGGGAAAATGAACCTGTGAGAGTCTGTACAATCAAAACTGTTAAAAGGAATGAATAGTTCCTGACACTTTAAAAGTGCTGAATTAAAGGAGGAGTTTCAACATGGCTGACTAGATGCTTCTGGTATTTACCTCTTCCACAGAGTGGAACCAAAATAGTGAGATAATTATAGTGATAGTGAGACAGTAATAATCACACTTCAAATAGATCATCTAAGAGAGAACACTGGAATTCAACCGAGAAGTGATAAACTCTGAAAGCAAGGAAGGAGAGAAAAGTGAGCCAAGTCTCTGGCTGTTTGGGATCAGCTAGGAATCTGGAGAGGCTTCCTATGCAGAGGAAGAGTTAAGTGGGACCCCCAGCAGACCAAATACCCACTGCGAACTCTAATAGCATTACCCATGAGGGACCCCCTTGATGCTCACAGGCCCTGAGACTAACATAGGGAGCTGCCTGGTGACTTCATGAAGGCATTGGTCCAGAGAGATAGCATACTGGATCCCACAACTCCTAAGTCCTAAGCAGCTGCAACACAGCGTGATTTTCAGAGCCCAGCCCCCACCAGACTACGTCCTGCCCTGCCACTCAGACTGAATTGGGAGCCAGTGATCCCATTCCTCTGAGCAGAGGGGCTGCTGCAGGGCAGAGGTATGAGCAAAGCTCAGTCCCCTAACTACCTGCCTATGGCTGCTCCCAGGGACAGCAACCCCACTCTCCATATCAGTACTGTAGCATAGCTGCTGCTGCCCCTACCTGAGCATTCCACCAGAAGCCTGGGGATCACTCCACCCCTGCCTTCCATAGCCAGCACCTGCATGCACCACCAGAGTCCCTGAGAGCAGTTCCACCCAGCCTGTCTTCATAGCCGCCACTACCCAAGCACAATCTGAGAGGCCTAAGGATCACCCAGTTCAGTTCATCGGCAGTGGTACCCAAGCACTCCTCCAAGAGTCTGAAGTTAGGCCTACTCAACCTACTACTACCACAGCTGGCATCCACCTGGACATGCAACCTGCAGGTCTGCGGACTGGCCTGCCCAAGCTATCACAGCCACCACCAACACTAGTACAGAATACTTGGGTTTCAAGGGATTTTTCCATCACTGCTACTGTCATCACCCATACCACTCCACACCTGTTGCCCAGGGGCTAAAGAACTTGCCCACCCACCTGGCCCACTGCTGCCATTTCCAGTACCTGAGGAAGCCATCTGAATGCCCAAGAATCTACCTGCCTGGACTCATTAACACCAGTGCCATTGTATGCTGCCTTGGGGCCGAAGGACAGGCAGGCCCAGACCACTGCTGCCATCACTGGGGCCTGAAGACTGGCCCTCTTGTTATTTTAGTTTCTGGCAAGACTTAACCAGTCTACACTAACAACCACACTCTGATCTACCAACAAAACCACAGATACCACTGACTCTATTTACGGCCAAAAGGAATGATAGAGACTACACTACTTAATGCATCCAGAATGAAAGCCAAGTGTCGTTTCCAACCATCATCATAGATACATCTCCAGGAAAATGTTCTCCATTACAAACCAAATTCAAAAAATTGGAAGAAGCAGCTGTTAAACCAGGTGCACAAATAACATACAAACACAGGGAACGTCAAAAACCAAAGATATGTGACACATCCAGAGGAACACAGTAATTCTCCAGCAACAAATCCCAATCAAAAAGAAATACACAAAATCCTGGGAAAATGATCCAAAATACTGATAGTAAAGAAGCTCAGTGAGATACAAGAGAATTATGAGAGACAATACAAAGAAACAAAAATAATTAAGGATTTGAATGAGGAATTTACCAGAGAGTTGGGTATCATACAATAGAATGAAATTCCGGAACTACAAAATACATTTGAAAGCTTCAGCAATAGATCAAGCAGAAGAATCTCAAAACTTGAAGACATCTTTTGAAATAACCTAGTCAGACAAAAACAGACAAAAAATAATAAAGATGAATGACTAAAGCAGGCTTCCCCAAATTGCGGCCCCCTGAGGCCATTTATCCGGCCCCCTGCCGCAGTTCAGGAAGGGGCACCTCTTTCATTGGTGGTCAGTGAGAGGAGCACAGTATGTGGCGGCCCTCCAACGGTCTGAGGGACAGTGAACTGGCCCCCTGTGTAAAAAGTTTGGGGACGCCTGGACTAAAGCTTTCATGGCAATGTGGGACACTATCAAATGGCCAAATATATGAATTTTCAGTGTCCCAGAAGACAAAGATATAAAACAAAATAACAGGTGAAAACTTCCCAGGTATGTGAAAAACTGCTCTATGTGACTAATAACCACAGTGAGATATCATCCTAGCCCTGTTAGAATGGCTGGTATTAAACAAAACAGATGCTGGCAAGGATATGGAGAAAAGAGAACTCTTGTATATTGTTGGTGGGAATGTAAATAAGTATAGCCACTATGGAAAACCGTAAGATTTCTCAAACTAAAAATAGTTACCATATGATCCAGCAGTCTCATTGGGTATTTATCCAAAGGAAAAGGAATCTCTCTATCAAAAGAATAACTGCAGTCACACTGTTGCAGCACTATTCACAATAGCCAAGATACGGAATCAACCTGTCTATTAATGGACAAATAGAGTTTCTAAATATGTAACATATATACAGTTGAATACTATTTGGCCATAAGAAGGAATGAAATTATGTCATTTGCATCAACTTTATGTTAAGCAAGCCAGGCGCAAAAGATAAATTTCACATATTCTCACTTACATGTGGGTGCTACGGCAGTGAATCTCATGAAAGTAGAGAGTAGAACGATAGATAACCAGAGGCTGGAAAGTGTGTGGGTATGAAGGGGGAAATGAAGAAAGTTTGCTTGACGGATACGAACATAAAGTTAGATGGTATAAGTTCCATTGTTCAATATCTGACAATTGTCACCTTACAAAATATTGTATATTTCAAGTAGCTGGATAAGTTGAAATGTTCCCAGCATATAGAAATGATAAATACTCAAGGTGATGGATAGCTCAGCTACCCTGACTTGATCATAGTACATTCTGTGCAGGCATCAAAATAGCACATATACTGTATAAATATGTAAAATATTATGTATCAGTAAGAAAAATTGCATGTTTTAGTTCCATTTCCACAGAGCCCTCAGGTAGCTGTTTTTGTGTTTTATCCCACTTACAGCCTATACAAGTGGATTAGTGTAAGTGCTCCCTCTTTCACACAGGAAGCGGGGGTTTTTTGGCTTAATTTTAAAGAATAAACATTACAAATAAATTGAAGTTCTCCTATAGTGCCTTCTCCAATACCATTGCACCCCAGAGGCAACCTCTTTGACAAATTTCATACAAATCTGGTCCATATTTTTATATTGAGCCAATACAGTTTAGAGGTTTGGAGTATAAGCTCTAGATTCATACTGCCAAGAATACCTTTACAAGTTACTTATCCTCTCTGTGCCTCTTGCTACCTACCTAATAAGGTCGATAGCAAGGATTGAGATAATTTGTATAAGTCATGTAGGATAGTAGCTAACATTTAAAATAGCAAACACTATTTTGGCTCTTGCTTGTCATTCTTACTATAACTGTACTATCTAAAGTATTTTATATGGGTTTTAAATTTACAGAGGGGTGATTCTATAAAGTTTTTTTCAACATTAGCATCTCAAGCTTTTTGCAATCCTCTCTCTTATTTGTTATTGAGCCATATATTTTTACATTTTTGATCTCCCGTGCCAGATATAGTACCTAGCACATAATAGATAAGAAATTGAAATTGAAATCTATGTCATTGACTGGTTTTGTTAACCTCTTAATAATCTGTTTATTTCCCCACAGCTGTATTCTGTACAGGTGGAAGAGATGGCAACATTATGGTCTGGGATACCAGGTGCAACAAAAAAGGTTGTCTAGTTCTATTTTAATTTTGAGAGATTTAGGATCACCCTATACTTAATTTTGGGTGAAAGAGTTAGTGATTTCATCTGATCACCACCAGGAGCATGTACTCATAATTCCCCATTTCTGCTCATCGTTCCAGTTCTCAAGATCTTAGTGATTGTTGCAAGTATTACACTCATGTATTTATCTTGTATTGTCTTTGAATTATAATGCCATTTACCCACATTCTTGATGGATTTAAAAATACTATTACACAGCCTCACTGGTAAATATCTTTTAATTTAAATTTATTTAGATTTTTAAGAATTTTTATTTATTTTTTTTTTTTGAGATGAAGTCTCTGTCACCCAAGGTAGAGTACAGTGACACAAACTCAGCTCACTGTAATCTCTATTACCTGGGTTGAAGCAATTCCCCTATCTCAGCCTCCTGAGTAACTGGGATTACAGGCACCCACCACCACACCTGGCTAATTTTTGTATTTTTTTAGTAGAGATGGGGTTTCATCGTGTTTGCCAGGCTGATCTTGAATTCCTGACCTCAAGTGATCTGCCTGCCTTGGCCTTCCAAAGTGCTGGGATTACAGGCGTGAGCCACCATTCCTGGCCTGATTTTAAAGTTAATTTGAAGTAAATAATAAGCTCATGGTTGTCTCATGATGCCATTAAGCGTATAGTGGTGATTATTTCACTGTTCACTTTAATTTATTAAAAGTTTTTTTAGTATCTGCATTTTAAAAAATTGATAACATAGTTCTACATATTTTGGGGGCATATGTGATATCTTGATACGTATAGAACATGTAATGATCAAATCAGGGTAATTGGGATATCCAGCATCTCAAACATTTATCTTTGTGTTGGGAACATTACAATTCCTCTAGCTTTTTTTTTTTTTTGAGACGGTTTCTCAGTCGATTGCCTAGGCTGGAGTGCAGTGTCGTGATCTCACCTCACTGCAACCTCTACCTCCCGGGTTCAAGTGATTCTCTTACCTCAGCCTCTCAAGTAGCTGGAATTATAGACGTGCACCACCACACCCAGCTAATTTTTGTATTTTTAGTATAGACGGGGTTTCACCATGTTGGCCAGGCTAGTCTGGAATTCCTGACCTCAGGCGATCTACCCACCTGGGCCTCCCATTCTTCTAGCTATTTTGAAATATATAATAAATTATTTAGAAAAATCTTAATAAACCTTATTTTATATAGCAGTTTTATGTTCACAGCAAAATTGAGCAGAAAGTACAGAGAGTTCTTATATAGCCCCTGCCCCACCCACACACAACCTACCCCACTGACATCCAACCTATGCCTGAGTGATACTTTTGTTATAATCAGTGAACTTATTTCAACACAGGCTGTCACTCAGAGTTTATAATTAGTGTTATATTGACAAATGTGTAATGACATATGTCCACCATAATAGTATCATACAAAATAGTTTCACTACCCTAGAAATCCTCTGTCCTCTTATTCATCGCTACCTCCCTCTAAGCCCTGGCAACCACTGATCTAAGCCCAGTACAACCAGTTACATTCCCTCCATGTCTTTTTATGGCTTTATCAAGCTCATTCTTTTTAGGACTGAATAATATTCCGTTGTTTGAATGGAACACAGTTCATCCATTCACCTACTGAAGCACATCTTGGTTGTTTCCAAGTTTTGGCAATTATTAAAGCTGTTACAAACATCTGTTCGTTTTTATACATTATAGTCTCACAGGAAATATAGTTCTGTTGGCTTCTAATTTCACCAATTTGGTCAAAAATAACTTAATATCGAAGTTTTACATACACGTGTTACATTCAGCATGTAAGAATGCTGAAACCTAAATTTCCTTGGAATATCTTTCAGATGGATTTTATAGGCAAGTGAATCAAATCAGTGGAGCTCACAATACCTCAGACAAGCAAACCCCTTCAAAACCCAAGAAGAAACAGAATTCAAAGGGACTTGCTCCTTCTGTGGTAAGATTTTACAGATGTATACATTTGTGGAGAGCTTATCAATAGGATAGAATAAATGGGAACTGTTGATTAAGTGAATGAGAATCTTCATGATTCTCATTTGATATCAGTAGTTTATTGCTTATTCAGTACCTACATTGTGGTTCTCAAATTCTGACTTTTAGTTCTTCTGAATTTTAATGCCATTTACTTATATTATTGATGGAATTAAAAATATTATACAGTGACTTCATTGATGAATATCTTTTACTTTAAACTTGTTTTGGTTTTAAAGAATTAGATTGCATTAAACATAAGGTCATGTTGTCTCATGATGCCATTAAGTAGAAAGTGATGATTATCTCTGTTTACTTTTAATTAATTTATTAATTTTTAAATAAAAATTGATGACATGATTGTACATATTTTGGCAGGGTACATGTACACAGCTTGATACATGTATACTGGGTATAATGATGGAATCAGGGTAATTGAGATAGCCTTCACCTCAAATACTGTGTGCATCAGAGTTGCCTGAGGCACGTGTTAAAAATTCAGCTTACCAAGTCTCATCCCTAGAAATCTTTGTTTCTCTCTCTGCACATACACACCCCTGTGGTATAGTGGAATTCGTAAGGAAAAGTAGGGGAGGAGTAGTTTGAAGAAGCATATTAAGTACTGCGATGCACTTTTCTGTGGGGAAAGAATCCCTGTTGTTTTCATAATACAAACTACAGAAAGATAGGTTTTTTTGTGTATTTTTAAGCATTTGACAAAATATTATTAAATATACTGAAATCATGGGTAGAACATAGTACCACTCTGTTAACTTGCAGTCAGAGCTCAATGCCCGTATTATAATCCTTTTACTTTAAAAAAAATTGCCCTTTTCTCCTTTAATGTATTTTTTTTTTTTTAAATATTTCTGGTGTATAGGATACAAGTTAATATTTTGGGGGAAGTATGACTGCTAAGACATTAAGACTTAAAACTGTATACCATGAACAGGACACAAGCATGAATAGAAACAGATAGTGGAGGCCATATTAAGTTAAAATGAGTAACATTTCAGACATTTAATCTTGTTAGGTAATAGCAATTAGCAGGTAAGACTCTGCTGGGCTTTTTTTTTTTTTTCAGAGCATGTAATAATCTATTATCCATAATTCTTTCAATACTCCTATGTGATAATCTAGGTAGACAGCAACATTTTAGAGATTAAACCGGCACAGGAAAGTTAAATATGTTTTCTAAGGATATACTGCATATTAGTAGGGCTGAGTCTAAGTAGATGCAGTAGGTTCTGACAGGCAAAATCTTTTAGTAACCAGTTTGTTTTTTTGAGTACAAGTTAAAGTATTAACACTGTATACTTTATATACTATATACTAAAATTTAATGATTCTTACTAAAATTACCTCTTGGTCAGCATATATATCCGATTGAGATTATTAGAGATTTCATTTCTAAGTTAGAGTCTGGGGAAGGGGAAAAAAGTTGTTTTTTAACACCTTGTTCTCTTGATGGTAAAGATTATGATGGCCAAGATAAAATTTTCTTCTTTTTCTTTTCTTGTGCTATCAGGATTTCCAGCAAAGTGTTACTGTGGTCCTCTTTCAAGATGAGAATACGTTAGTCTCAGCAGGAGCGGTGGATGGGTGAGAGTCTATTTCTTGGTTCTTCCGATGAGATATTTTTTATGAGCTGTGATAGGGAAGTCACATAGTCTCATTATAATTGAATGTGTGTGGTTTTAACTGTCAACATAGCAAGTACCCCAATGAGAAAAGGGACTAGAGATCACACTGGAAAATATCTAACTGAAGGACTCTTGCTGAAATAATTAAATGAAAGGATACATGTATCACATTTAGCACATTGTCTAGCACAGAAGAGCAGTGGTAGCTGCTGTTGCTGTCTTTGAAAAGAAGCTGGATGGGTAGCTTGCTTGCTTGCCTTATGCAATGTAACTTAGTCACTAATTCTTATTTTGAGGAGTAAAATTTCCATTACTTTGGGTTTTATCTTTTTCAGATTTAAGAATATCCTAAAGGAAGAAATCTGATTCTGGGGATGTAGTTGACATTTCTGGGAGTAGTCTAACTAGATTGATGATAGTAAGGTCTAATGACTTTCACATACCTATCATCCATGATTAGTCTGAATTCTTGACTTCCAAATAAGTCTGCTATGTGATACTTGTTGGTTGCTTGCTTTGTAGAATATAAATTCTTTGCATATGGAGACTCTTTTTAAGCTTCTTCCTATTATATCTCTCAAGGCATCCTTCCCTTAAAATTTTTAATTTGAAAGATGATGGCTTACCAAACTGGGGTTTCCATTGTGTTCTCTGGGCACTAAAACCCTATGTGAACCTAATTCTCAGGCAGTAATGAAGGATTATCTAAAGGTTATTAGTTCTGCTTCTGAATGACTGAAAGATTGCTCTGTTTGTTTCCAAGGATATTGTCATTTCATATCAGGTTTGTGTTTTCAAGTTGCCTTCATGCTAGAAGTAGAGGATTGAGACAATTATCTCAATAGATGAAAGAATACTTTATTTCACAGAACAATTTGTTTAGATTAATTAAGTAGTTATGTATGGAAAGACAACCACAGGGACAGAAATTGCTACTTAAGATACCAAAGGGTATATGCAGAATATTAAAGTCTTAGGAAGTGTTTTTTCTAAAAACAATGGAACAGTTACTATCAGCAGTCAACCTTCGTCTTCCTTTTCCTTTCCCTTGGAGTAAACTCCAGTAACCCAACACTGGGTCAAGTCACATCTGTTTCCGTTCTGTCAGAATTATAAGCCTGATATTGGAGACAACAGTATAAGATAATTTAATTTGTTTCCCAATGAAGTATCCTCACTGTACCTAGTTAATGTGCCAGAGGAGTTAGATTAAAAGTCATTTCACATTGAATGTAATTGAAGTTGTTGGGGATTGGAAGAAGGTCTACAAAATAATTATTTGCCTTGGTTTTTAGGATAATCAAAGTATGGGATTTACGTAAGAATTATACTGCTTATCGACAAGAACCCGTAGCATCCAAGTCTTTCCTGTACCCAGGTAGCAGCACTCGAAAACTTGGTAAGCCTTTATATAGGTCTTCTGGGGGAGATAATGAGTTTTTGTTAAAAAAGAAAAAAAAAAATTAGGCTTATTTTCAGTAACATTGATTTGAAAAATTCTAATATGTGAAATTCAAAAGATAAAAACTCAGAATAATATTTTTGATTTGTGTATATTTTGGGGACAAAGAATTTGGATGATTCTTCTTATGGAATGATCTGTTTTTGCCTTTACATTTTAACCTCAGATCTACTCACCATCATCAGGACATGCTAAACTTAAGTTTCCTTTTTCCAGGATATTCAAGTCTGATTTTGGATTCCACTGGCTCTACTTTGTTTGCTAATTGCACAGATGATAACATCTACATGTTCAATATGACTGGCTTGAAGACTTCTCCAGGTAAGATATTAGTCATTCAAATTCTCTTACCAGGAAACTAATATGGGCTTTTTTGGTAATGACAGTTAAATGGGTTTTCTTCTAAACTGAACTTTCTAAGCCATGTGAGAATTTTGGCATCTTTGATTAGTTCCAGTGATATTTTCAGAAGTGTACATTCCTTGTGATGATTTCACAAGTAAGCTGAATCATGCTTTACATGGTGACTTAAATTTATTTTTATAGAGGGTATCTCCTGAAATTATGCCCTTTGGCCTATATTTAGAATTCTCTCAATTTTTGATTTAATAAACTGAAGTAGAAAAAGTGCTTCTGCTCAGTTTTTGTCCTGTTTAGGGGCTGCTGGTTAAAATTGGTGGTGGCTGAATTTCTCAGACCCCAAAATAGTTTCAGCCTACCTCAGCCTTCTCCTTAATGTTAGAGGCCATTTTATCTCTTTAGGTGTTTTCCCCAGTCTCACCCTTTTTTTTACCTCAAGACTATAAAAATAGAATCTGATACTTAAAATTAATATATAAAGATAGTTTTAAAAAGAAAACCAAGTTTTTCAAGTATACCTTCCTCTTCTCTTTAATCCTCTCTCCTCCTTCCAAATCACCAGCCTCAGGCATGCTTTAAGAGAGTTATTTGGGTTATGTTATTTTTAAGAACATTATCAATTTCTTAAGCAAGCAACATCTTAGTAGCCTGGTTATTCCTCATCTGTAGATCTTTCAAAAACACTTTGAATTCTATAACCAATCTTCAGAGTTACCCAGTTTCCACTACAGTGAAATGTGCTAATAAACAAGAAATCTCAAGTACAGAACTTGTCATTTTAGTTGAGGTCTTACAGAAGCTTCCAAAGATCACCCCAAGCAATCTTATTAGGACTTTAGTATCTGCAACAGCGTCATGGTCTGCATTTCTGCTGCTTTGCATTGGGTCTGGTTTTCTCTAAACAAGAGCAATAGCATTTAGAAAAGAAAAGAGGTGTTTATTTTGCTATTTTCCTTAATGGAATCAGAGCTTGGAGAACTGCTGATTTAGTCGGTCAAATAAAATAGACTTTTCAAAATCATTTCCTTGAAAGATAAAGCCTAATCCTGATTATATTATCAGGATGTACAAGAGCTCTGTCTATTTAATTTTTGCTATAGTGTGTCACTGAAAAGAGCCTTAAGTTTATTGTCCTTCTTCCATCAAACACTTTGCTAGTAATTTAGTAAACCTTTTTATGCTTCTATTTAATTTCATTTGCTGAGATAGGTAGATAGATGAATAGATCGATTAATTCTTTAAAAACTGAATGATGGCCAGTCATGGTGGCTCACACCTACAAACCCATCACTTTAGGAGGCTGAGGCTGGCAGATTGCGTGAGCTCAGGAGTTCAAGACCAGCCTCGGCAACATGTCGAAACCCCATCTCAATAAAAAGATGTAAAAAGTTAGACAGATGTGGTGGAATGCACCTCAAGTCCCAGGTACTTGGAAGGCTGAGGTAGGAGGATTGCTTGAGCCTGGGAAATTTCAGGCTTCAGGGAGCCATGATCTTGCCACTGCACTCCAGCCTGGGTGGCAGAATAAGACCTGACAGCCATCTGTGTAGGGGTGGGGGTCAGGGTGTGTGTGTGTGTGTGTGTGTGTGTGTGTGTGTGTGTGTGTGTGTCGGGGGGCAGTGTGTAATGTCTTGTTATAAATTGTTCTTTTCAAAACTTCTGAAAGGATCTTGGATTTGGTACTTGATCTACCACACTTTGTATTCACGGTGTTATATTAAGTGATGTTCATGAGGATGACTCTGAAGTACTTTAAGAGCCCAGATGATCACGAAAGCAAGATTAAACTGAACTGATTAAAGCCAATATACGTTTTAGGAGAATTTTTAGCAAGGTTTAAACATTTACAGTGTGTTTCATACCAGCCTTTCTTAGACCAGCAGAGGGCAATAAATACTTACAGGTATTGTGGGAAATTCTGGCCAGAGATTTCCATTCATAATTTAGAGTTAAGGAAGATTAAAAATAACAGTTTTAGAACAGTGTTCAAAATAAAGGAATTTTTTGTTTTGCAGTGATAATAGATGTATCCAAATTGATTCCTATCCTGCCCCGTTTTCACAGTAAAAATGTCTGATACCAGGAATATTTGCTCTGCCTGCATAGCTTTTTCCTTAAAAGCTATAAATACAAAGTTCTTTTCCAGCTTTATTCTAGAAAATGGAAGAGATTTCTGTGAGCACTTAAGGAAACCTGTTAAGGCCCCTACTAATACTTTTCTCTGTTTGTTAAAAGATGGAGTGTGATTGTTTTTTCCTGCCTAAAGATATCCTTAAATTCTCCAATAATTGAGATTTTTCTCCTGTATTTGCTCATAGTGTTCTGATGTCAGAAGCCTAGGGATTTGACCTTCTTAGGATAGAAGAACCTGTCAAGAACTTATGAGGCCGGGCGTGGTGGCTCAAGCCTGTAATCCCAGCACTTTGGGAGGCCGAGGCAGGTGGATCATGAGGTCAAGAGATCAAGACCATCCTGGTCAACATGGTGAAACCCCGTCTCTACTAAAAATACAAAAAATTAGCTGGGCATGGTGGCACGTGCCTGTAATCTCAGCTACTCAGGAGGTTGAGGCAGGAGAATTGCCTGAACCCAGGAGGCAGAGGTTGCGGTGAGCCGAGATCACGCCATTGCACTCTAGCCTGGGTAACTAGAGTGAAACTCCGTCTCAAAAAAGAAAAAAAAAAACATATTATGCTAGATTTGGGTACTTGCCCTTTTGCCATTGACAGTGAGAAGGCTAAACCTAACCTAGTGCCTTATGTATGAACATAGTTTACCCCACTAGCTACTTCCACCATTCAGCCTACTTAAAGTGCTAGATTAAAATGAGTCCCACATCCCAGATAAGCTATTAGTAAGTTTTAACCAGAACTCAAATGATACTTTTCACTGATTTTTGTTTTCCTATTCATGGAACAAGTGTTTGAGTATCTACTCTGTTCAAAGCACTGTTAAGTCTAGAGGGGAAAAAGCAAGATATGAAATTTATCCTCAAGAGGCTTGAAGTCTAAGGGGAAATTAGACGGATATAGTATGCAATGGAAAAAATCCTACTCTGGGCTGGAGAGAGGGTATTATAAAGGCATTTTACTGCAAGTTGGACATTAGCTGCATTCTTTTTTTTTTTTTAAGGAATGTTATTCACATTTTTTCCTCTTGATATTGCCATTTTAATACCAAGTATTCAGACTGAGTTCATGAGATTGGATCTAACATAAAGCCTCCTTTTAGGGTTTCATTTTTCTGCCAATGTCCAGTTCCCTTTTATTTGATGAATAAAGCTAGACCATCTGCTTCAATAGGCAATATAGTGATACAACTTGTTAGAATATATATATCCTGTCTATATCCACTTAACCACTGAAAATAACAAGAGCCAAGTAATTTGGTTGTTTTTTCCTCTGGCAGTGGCTATCTTCAATGGACACCAGAACTCTACCTTTTATGTAAAATCCAGCCTTAGTCCAGATGACCAGTTTTTAGTCAGTGGTTCAAGTGATGAAGCCGCTTACATATGGAAGGTAAGTTGCTAAGCTTCCCCACAAATGTTAGGCTGAAGTATTCTTGCAAATATTTGTTCTGTCCAGTGTGAGGTAAGTTTGATGTAACCACATAAACTATACTATTCGTGCATCAGATAGTTAGTAAAGGTTGCTTCTTAGCTCTTAATATAGCTGAAACCTTACTCTGTTACAGAATGTATGAAACTTTCAGGGCCACAGCTTGTCAGAAATTGATAATTCATGTCCTCTGTTTCACAAATTATTAGGAAATTCAGAGAGTAGTAAGAACCTTAGCTACTTTGTCCTGCATCCTGGAAAACATGCTGTACTGACTTTCTGCCCTCTGTTTTCAAACTCTCATTCAGAATACAGTATTTTGATCCCTAGGATCCTGTACTCGAATCACCCATGGAGCCTTGTACAAAACAGAAACTCAAAAATATTTGTATGATTAATTTATTCTTTATTCTTTTCTTACAAGTAGCTGATCTTCAGGCCACTAAAGTGGAAGTGGCTGCTTTATCAAATTTGTATATATTTAATAGCATTATTTAATAATCTTTTAATTAACTTTTTTAACAATAGTAATTCTGAAGTGTCCTCTATAAGCTAAAAAAATGTAAAGCTGTCCTTTTGAAGTCCAGTAGAGAAAATAAAAATAATTCACAACAGTAGCACTTGCTTGTCACTGAGAAAATGTCTCTTGAAGGAATAAATATGAAAATGTTCTGGGAATTCAGAGAATGATCATTAAGGCATTGTTTACCCATGACTAAGAATTAGTTATCTTCTAGGTTTCCCTGTAAGTTCGTAAATGTCTTTGACATTGGTGAATTGAATAATCAGAGTTCACATATTTTGGGTTTAAAGTCATAATGTCTAAAACTTCATAGATCTGTAGTTTTGGTAGTATCAAATCCCTTCTCAAAAGAAAGTTGTATCATTCTTTGTCCTGCCAAGCTTTAGAAAGTAAGATTGCAATTTTTTTTTTTTAGGAAAGAGGTAAAACCTGTTCAGTATGAAGCATAATTCTTGAGCTTAATTTCTTCCAGTCCTGAGGGCAGTACAAAAAAGTGATTTCTATATAACAGGAGTTGCAAAAATGCAACACTACTTTATTAAAATTTTAGTAACAATATCCTAAATAGTCACAAGGTGGAGATACTGCTCTATCCAAGATGCTTCTGTGTTGGGCTTGCCTTTTTTTACAAGCATGTTTCTTTTGTTATGTTTTTAAATGAAAATTTGCCTATAAAGTATATACTTGAGACTCCATCACAAGATGGAGTTTCCTCTTTATAATATGCTTCTTACTTGAGATTTTATGTTACATCGCTAGCATTAATGCTTCTGTCTTATATTTTACATTTTGAGTTTCAAATTTGGTCTTAATGCTTTTTATTTTGCTATCTTTATTTTTCCTTTCTTCTTTGTTCACTGTCTTACCTATGTTTCTTTCTCTACTTTGGCTCCCAACTTAACTAGAGGATTTTATTCCTACCACAGGTCTGTATCTTTTAAAGTTTGCTTCTTCTTGAAAAAAAAAATTCAAACATATCAAAAAGCATGTAAAGAATAATTCAAAAAACATGTATTGATTATTCTTTTAAAATTATTCTTAATAAGGTTTTAAATTCTATATACATAATTATGTATACAATTATATATTGTGTGTGGTTTTCTTGATAGTTTTGAAATTATTAATAAATTTTTGAAGTTTATATATATACATAATTATGTGTACAATTATATATTATGTGTGTAAAGTTTTCTTGACAATTCTTAAACTTCCTCTTCTCTAGCGCAAAGGCCTTTTTAAAATTTTGTTTCAGAGAATGAAGGTTGAGGGAATACTTCCTCCCTTTAAAGATATACACTAAATATAGTTGGCCATTGTTTCTAAGCCATTTTCAGACAACCAATTGGTAGCTACCAAATACATGGGTTACCCTTTTTTATTTCCTAGGCTGGGTCACATGTAAGTGTTGAATGACGTGGTTCAGACGTGATGTTCTGCCTGTCCACATATAACTCAGTGTACAGACTCTGATATTTGAGATCCTGGCAAGCTTGTACATCCTAAAATTGAATTTGCCTAGTGAGGTGGCTCAGTTTCTCTTTTCTATGATTAAGAAAAGGAGGAGTGATATTTTTAAGAGCAATTCCATTCAAGCTGAGTATCCAGACTGTTGGGTTGTCTTCTCTCTTCTACATGTTCAAAAAGTCAGAATTCTCTTAAGTATTGGAATTTTTTCTATGTTAAAAAGCCAAAACTCCGTGGGCACAAGAAAACAAAATAGAAGGGGGTTTTGTATCTTAAGACAGAAGAGAATGGCCTTTTAATCCTCAGTACTACCCAGCAAAGGGGAAATATAATATATTTGGACTGATATTGAAGCCCAAAACTTTTAAAAAGATTTAATATTATACCTTTTCTTTTTAACCTACGCATTGTCCCACCCCCACACCATCCCCTTTTCTCTGGTTTGTTTCTGATATAGCCACTGAATAGCATCAAAGTGGTTATAAATAAACTGATTTGGCATAGTCACTCTACCACTGACGGGCAAAACGTTAAGCCTGACACTTTAGGAAGTGTAAATGATCTCATGGCAGAAATAAAGATTAGACTTGGTTTCCAACTGGGCAGAGAAGAGATTTTGTGAGGAAAAGTACTGATATTCTTTGTATATTTAAGTATACAAAATAACTTTATGAGATCTGTAGATTAGAGCCATTTACTTCTAGAGATACTTTCATAGTTATAAGAGATTTAACTTTAGGATTTCTTGTGCCTTGAATTAAAGTTTTTATTTTATAAAAAGTAGAATATGTAAGAGAGGACAGTCTTCTATGTCTGAGCATCTCCAAAATGCATGTATATAAATGTCTCTTAGACTTAATAGTCTCTTTCCTACTTAAAAGGGAAAGGAAGCCTTAAAAAAATGAGATTATGTAATTATAATGTTTTTATAATAATGGACAATAAATAAAAATTTATTTGAATAAAAATGAAGGATTTAAAAACCACCTGAATCTCATTAGAAGAAATGAATCTTTCTTGAAGTAGTCACTATACCCTAGGATAGTCCTAAACTATCAAAACATAAAAGTTTATGAAAACTTGTTAGACATTAGTTTCTCATTTTAACCCACAACAAACCCTTCTCCCGACTTTCCTTTATTGAGATAGAATTCATATAACATAAAATTCACCATTTTTAAGTTTACAGTTGAGTAGTTACTAGTGTAATCACAGTGTTGTACAAACATCACCACTAATTCCCAAATATCATCACACCAGAAAAAAAAACTATGTCCTTTAACAGTCACTCTCCAATGCCCTCTTCCTTCCCAGCACCTGCTAAACTACATTGTCTCTGGATCTGCTATTCTAGACATTTTGTATAAGTGGAGTCGTACAAAATCAGCATTTTGTGCCTGATGTCTTAGCATAATATTGTCTAGGTTCATTCATGTTATAGCATGTGTCAGTACTTCATTTTTTTATGACTGAATAATATTCCATTGTACAGATAGACCACATTTTGTTTATTCATTCATCAGTCGATGGACATTTGAATTGCTTCCGCTTTTTGACATTATGAATAAAGCTGCTATGAACATTTGTGTATAAGTTCTTTTTTAATACAGGTTTTTAACTCTCCTGGGAGTGTAGGAACAAAATTCTATTCCTAAGAATAGAATTGCTGGGTCATATAATTGTTCAACTTTTTGAGGAGCCTTTCCCCACTTTTAATGCTATGTAAAGTGCCTGGCTTAGACTTCTATTTTCATTATTTATACCTTTTTATCATATTCTACAGTGTTTTCTTTTTTCTCTGAAACACGATAGATAAATGCAAAAAATGTGCATATATTCTATTGGCGGCTTTTTAGGGTTTTTTTTGAAACTTATTTTATCCTCTGTATACACATTTAGGTTCTTCTAGGTATTATTATACAGAAAGTGAGAAAAGATCAGTATTATGAAATTAAATGCTAGAGGCAATAATCAGGGTGAGCCAATGGAAGAGAATAATGTGTTTCTACCAGGTTGCTCAGTAGGACTTGAGGATTTCCTCTCCCTTTTAATTTGCTGCTACCAGACCTGTTTGGACCTTGGGTGAAGAGAAACTTAATAGACTAGGACCATCACAAATGGAGGAGGAAGGAAGATTTCTGTGACTACTGGGATACTTAGACAATCTTAAAACATCTCTTCTAAAATATGTTACCTTGTGAAAGAATGAATTATCTCTGTGGCATTGTAGGAGTAGGCAGTAAGTGAGATTCCTGTAGATGTAGAAAAAGCTTCCTTCTGTTAAATTTTAATTAACTCAGCAAGACAAGTTAGACTCGCTCTTTGTCTTCTTTTGCTTTTTGAATTATTGTATATGTACCATCTGAGTCAAAAGAGGAGTATTAATGATTGAGTTAACCTTACAAATCAGTGTGTCAGATCTCTTAACTATAATTTGGGGAACCTATTAAGTTTACTGAGTCATTTTCACAAATAATCATTCCAGAGTCACCTCCACTTTCTTCATACAAATGAGCCATGATTCAGAGCCTCAGGAAAATGAAAGGAGAATAACTTTTCTCAGCCTGAACCTTCTTGCTCTTTTGAAACACACATGCTAATAATAGTTATGTGAGTTTGTACTCCTTATTATGCTAGTTAATTCCCATGGCCTGTGAAAGAGATTGACATCTCTTGAATGAGTCAGCTGTACGATGCTGTCAAATGCACATAACTGGTGGCATCTGATGAAGGAAAAATATGATTCTTAGTTACATGTACAGGACAATATAATGTGACCCTTCTTTCTGTGTTAAAATAAAATGTGAATGACACTTGAAAATTCAAAACTTCTCTTAGCAAATTAACTGAAATAAAATTTTAGAGGGAAAAAAAAATTTCCGGAGAGGATACCAAAGTGCCACGTAAAATATAGTTTATACCCCTTCAGAATGAAGGTTATCCAACTCAAAATGAAGGAGTATAAATTTGGGTTTTGGTAAAAGTTAGTGAGTCGTCTTTTGGAAGGAAGACAGTCCTCTTGTCCCAAGAGAGCTGGTAGCATGTTTCAGAAATCTTCAGGTTTCACAATTAATTTAGTGTTTCTAGAAGTAGCTGACTAGAGACCTGAAAATGTCTATGCTGTGTAAAAACAGGACTAAGTTGTCAAGTTGACTACTTAGGGATGGATAACATTCTTCCAGAAAGTTTACCACCTAAGGAATGAGGGACAAGGACAGTCTTGAAGTTTAGGCAAAGTATGTATAGTTAGGTTGTCCTGAGATGAAATAAGAACTATCCTTGTGTGTAAGCTCTTATTGTTTACTTATTTTGGCTGTTTTCATTGTGTTTTCTCAGATCAGTGACAGAAATACTTTAATGCCCATTGGAAATCTTTTTTTTTTCCCCCCAAACTATAACTAGGCAGGTCTAGTGGCCTTTGGTAACAATCCTAAAGCTCTCTAAGACACATTTCTGAATTCAAAGCCTCTATCTGGGAGATCCAGCATTGCTTGCTGACTTGTTTCTTTTTGGTTGGACTAGGTCTCCACTCCCTGGCAACCTCCTACTGTGCTCCTGGGTCATTCTCAAGAGGTCACGTCTGTGTGCTGGTGTCCGTCTGACTTCACAAAGGTTTGTAAATGAATTTTTATAGTTGGTTTAAAATGTAGATCACAGGTTTATAGGTTTTTCCAAGGTTTGTTTTGAGACTGATAAGATTTTAAAGATTTAGAGGCCATCCAGGATCCATATCCACATTACTCAGACATATTCTGCTTTTCTTTACCCATACCATAATGGTATTATGCCCTGTGAAATAAGGATAGATTTCTGGTTCCCTAGAGTTATTTCTTTCCTAAATGCAGAATTAAGTTTTTAACTTAATTAAAATTTTATATTAAAATCTAAGGTAAAAATACAATCTAAGGTGAGAACTAGTCTTCTTTACTTTTTAGATGTTATCAATGTAGTTTATTAAAGGTAATATCTTAACAGCCCGATTTGGGTTTTCACATATGGCTAACAAAATGGTTACTGTGAAGTTTTAACATGTTACGTTATCTGTTGCTAAACTATGTAAGTAGGTCTGAAATGTTTTAGATACTCTAGAAAGAAGACAATATGCCCACCTTTTAATTTTTTTAAAGTGACACGTTAAGAAACAAAAAAACCCTAAAATGTAGATAGACCAGAAACATTAAAAACTATGTATATATTGGAATTTTATATAATGGTAGCTCAAGTTCCAGTCATTCTCCCAACCCCCATTGCCTCTGGTCTTTGAGTTATTCTAGGTTCCACAGGAAATCTTATTTCTGTAGAGGTCTCCCCTTTCACGTATGACGTTTTGAGGTTTTGTTGCCTATTGTTCCCATCTGTTTTTTATCTTCCAGAAACTTCTCATGGTCTGGTCTATTTGTGGCATCCGTGCTAGCTTCCAGTACTGTTGTGGGTTTCTCCTTGTCCTTGTTACCATTTCTGTGCTCAACTTTATGGCAGACCATTTTTTGTTTAAGTCATTACTTTAATCACCTGAAATTACATGCTAATGATATTTTTTCCTTGGAGATTTTATATAATTTCTAGTGAAATATCTGCTTTTAACGTGTAGTGTTGCATCTTCATAGAACTTATTAATATGAATGTTTTTTTAATTACTCAGTTAATTTTGTTATCTTTTTTCAACCATCATATATTACCCTTATCTCTGTGCATCTTAAACATCATATATTAATTATCCTTATTTCCTGTGCTCAAAGGAAATAGAAGGGCTATTTACCTATACTAATTTATTGACTACTTTTTTAAGTTTTTTGTTTGTTTGTTTGTTTTTTTGAGGCGGAGTTTCACTCTTGTTACCCAGGCTGGAGTGCAATGGCACGATCTCGGCTCACTGCAACCTCCGCCTCCTGGATTCAGGCAATTCTCCTGCCTCAGCCTCCTGAGTAGCTAGGATTACAGGCACACGCCACCATGCCCAGCTAATTTTTTGTATTTTTAGTAGACGGGGTTTCACCATGTTGACCAGGATGGTCTCGATCTCTTGACCTCGTGATCCACCCGCCTCCGCCTCCCAAAGTGCTGGGATTACAGGCTTGAGCCACCGTGCCCGGCTTAAGTCTTTTAAAAAGAGTTTCATATCAAGCCTAGAATTAGGAAAGTAGAATATGGTTTGTGTTGTTTTTATTTTTTTAATGTCTAACTTTTGGAATAGGAGAAAGCTGAGTTTAAATTCTAGCTCTTCCATTTGATTGTGGTTACTTTGGGCAAATAACTTTATTCCCTTTTTCATAGGAGATTGTTTGATTACAAGGCCTTTAGAGTGTGAGAATTAAATAAGATAAAGAATGTAAACTACCAGACACATAGTAGGTGCTCTGTAAATAACTATTGTTAATAAACTATAGAGGAACTGTGAGATTTCAAACATTTCATATTGAGTAGTCAAATATATGTATCTTCTTTTGGCCTCCCAGTAAGGAAAGGAAAAAGCTGCCAGTCTCTTGGGGGCCAAGACTTCAGAGAACGTGTATTCTTTTTTTCTTTCTCTCTAGTAACTGAAATAGAGAAATTATATAAACAAATGCTAGGGAACAGCTCTGGTACCAGTGGCCATTTGCCACAAGCTCTTCAAGCTGGACTTTCTCTGCCATAAAAGGCTTGGGACCAAGATCGAGAGTGGTCAGATATTTTTAAAAGGGCAAAGGTTATTTTTTAACTTCTTTCAGCCTAGTGAACTTGTTGTTTTCCCAGATTGCTCCTTTACCTATCTGAAAAAGAATCTCAAAAGAAATGGTTTCATTCTACTTGTCACAGAGGCATATTCTGCTTGGCATACTAGAGTCATGGGCCAAGTATGATCTTGCAAATGATGCCTTTAGGTAATGTGGCACAACATGCAGAATTCATAAGAAAATTGTAGAAATTGAATGTTGGTAACATATACTCATTGATCATTTAAAAGAAGAGTAAAAAGGGTGTCTTAATTACATATTTTGTATTTATACAGAAGATGATAAAGAGCCAGGTTTCGTATCAGAACTTTAGATAAAAAACGACTGGTAACAAAAGACATACTAGTAGAAGGTATATGAAGTAGAAACTAGAAACTCAGCTGTGTTAGAAATCTGAAATGATTCCTGAAAGGAAGAAATTGATGTATATGATCTTTCAGATATTATTTTAATATCCTATTTATTAGACAAAATAATTCTCCAGTCACAAGCATTTAAGACAATCAATTTTTTACTGTATTGTGAATCTTTGGTTGAAACTTAACACCCTTCTTTGTTCTCCCTGTTAGATTGCTACCTGTTCTGATGACAATACACTAAAAATTTGGCGCTTGAATAGAGGCTTAGAGGAGAAACCAGGAGGAGATAAACTTTCCACAGTGGGTTGGGCCTCTCAGAAGAAAAAAGAGTCAAGAACTGGCCTAGGTAAGAATATCATCTACTTTCCAAGTTTTTTGTGGTTTGAGTGGTTTAGTCCTTCAGTACAGAGTAATAAGCTAGATTTGATCTTGCATTGGTATGTTTTTAAAGGAAAGCACTATCTTCTTGCCATTCTTTTTGATAAGTACCTCCTGAGCACTACTATGTTTATCATTTACACAATGTACTACAGTGGTAGGTTTATTCAACAAGTATTTCTTGAACACCCAGTATGTGCTGGGCCCTGTTCTTAGTTGATAGGGATTTAGCAATGAACAAAAAATAAAAAATCCTGAAGATGTAAATATAGCTAACATATTAATATGAGAGGAACAAACAAGATAAAAAAGTAAAATATATACTGTGTCAAATAACAAAAAAGGCTTAGGAATAAAGGAAATAGGAAAGGGAAAAGGGCAAGGGTGGTGAAGTAGCTCTTAAAACTTTATATTATGTGGCCAGGGAAGACTCAATGAAAATATGGCATTATAGCAAAGAAAGTAAAGTAGTAAGCCACATAGATATTTTAAAGAAGAATATTCCAGGCAGATGAAAGTACAGAGGCCCTAAAGCAGGAGCATGCTTGACATATTTTTTCTTCCTCAGAAAGGTTAGCATGGCTGGCCCCTAGGGCTGGAGCAGGCAAAGGAAAGGGAGAAGAATAGTAGTGGAAAATGAAATTCTTATGGGACTTTGGGTCTTATTTTGATAGGCAAAAATCCTTCAGAGGGTTTGGAGCAGAAGAGTATCATAATCTGACTTTTAACTTGATCATTCTTGCTCCTGTGTTGAGGATAAATTGTAAGGGGATCAGTAAAAACAAAAAGCTGCTTCTAAAAAGCCATTGAAATAATTTAGGAAGTGATGATGGTGACTTCGACCGGAGTAGTAGCAGAAGCTGTGATGCGAAGTCATTCAATTTTGGATATATTTATAAGACAGAGCCAACAGAATATGTTAAGGGATCAGATGTGGTGATATATGGTAGTTATCAAGGATGACTTCAGAGGTTTTGCTTAAGAAGCTAAAAGGATGTAGTTTCATTAACCTAGATAAATATCCCTGCAGGAAGAGCAGGTTTGGGAGGGAACAGCTGGAGTTCCACTGAGACCTACTTTTTGATATAATTATTAAACACCCAAATGGATATGTCAGGGAGGCATTTAGATGTTTAATTCTGCAGTTCAGGGTTGAGATTGTAGATGTGAGGGTCATTATCACACAGGTGAAGATAGCTATAGATAGAAAAAAATAGGCCTGTGTTCTTGGGGTACCCCAGTGTTTAGAGGATGAGGAGATGACAAATACCATTAAAGCCTACTGAGCAAGCACAATCAGCGAAGTAAGACAAAAACTAGGAGAATATTATATTCTGGAAGCCAAGTAAATAAGAGGGATGAATTTGATTTGATATTTCTGGCATACCAAATTAGATTAGGCCTAAAAACTGACCAATGAATTAGGCAATTGTAGGGGTTATTTGGTGACCTTAATGAATGTCGTTTTGGTGGTATGATGGTGGCCTGACTGGTGTATGAGTTGGAGACTACAAGTATAGAGCTTTGTTATAAAGGAAAAAAAGAAGTGAAGTGGTAGCTAGAGAAAGAAGCAGGGTTGAAGTTTGGTGGGTTTTTTTTTTAAATAGGAATATAACATTTCATAATGATTGGCAGGATCCTGTAGAGAGGGGGAAATTGATGCAGGGAAATTTGCTAGAGCAGTGTCCTCAAGTAAGCGTAAAAGGGATGCTATCCAATACACAAGTAGGAGGGTGGGCCTTTGCCAGGAATGTGAATAATTGATCCATAGTAATTGGAAAAAAGGTGGAATATATAAGCATGGTGCAGGTAGGCTTCTGAGAGTTGGTGGGGCAAGATGAGATGGCCATAACTTACAGAAGTTTCCTTCTGTTCTTATGTCAAAACATGAATCAGGGTCATTAACTATGATAAGGGAAAAAGGGACTAGAGATTTTAGAAGAGACAAGAAAGTCTGAAATAGTCACTGAGAGAATAGAAGAATAAATGGACGGGAAAATATGATTGTTAGGCTTTAAGAGTCAGCTTGAGACTAGCAGTAATTAATTGAAAGTGAGCACTCCACGTAGTTATGTGTTTGCTATGCAAGAGCAGGTATACTGTAGGTAGAGGGTTGGATTTAACCAGGGATGTTGTTTAGCAATGCAAGTCAAGAAGGAAGTTGAGGATGTATACAAAGAGAGTGATTATGACTATAGGATTTAACCTTACTAAAAAGAGGTGTTAGTCGTTTTCACACTGCTGATAAAGACATACCTGAGACTGGGCAATTTACAAAAGAAAGACGTTTAGTGTCTTACAGTTCCACATGATTGGGAAGGCCTCACAATCATGGCAGAAGGCAAGGAGGAACAAGTCACGTCTTACATGGATGGCAGCAGGCAGAGAGAGAGATTAGGCAGGGAAATTCTCCCTTATAATACTGTCAGATCTCCTAAGACTTACTGGCTATCACAAGAACAGCATGAGGAAGACCTGCCCTCATTATTCAATTACCTCTCACCAGGTACCTCCCACAACACGTGGGAATTCAAGATGAGATTCAAGTGGGGACACGGCCAAACTATATCAGGAGGGAAGGGAGGACATAATGGGGCTGGGGGATAGTGTAAATGTGGTAATATCAATGGATTGAGGATAAAAGATTATTGGAATTGAAATACTAAAGGGAGCTGGGAAAATAAGTAGTGATGAGTGGGATGATTGAAATTAAGATAATGGAAGATTTCCAGATATTGGTAATGAAAAGTTCAAGAATAAGTGGCTTAGGAGAGTGAAAGGATGTGATTATTATAGAAGGAGGTCAAGAAACTGAGAAACCAAGGTATTGGAAAGATCATGTACATGGATTTTGTAATCACTACAGATTGACAGATAACATTGAAGAGAGTAACAATGAACCAAGATCAAAAATCTTAAAGCAATGAGCAAGCCAGAGTGGATCCTCAGGGTATCAGTAGATGTGCTATATACCTGTACTTGCATGTTAAACACACAACCATATGGAATGTTCACTTTCAATTAATTACTGCTAACCTCAAGTTGTCTCTTACTGGCCAAAATCATATTTCCCTGTCCATTTACTCTTATGTTCTCTCACTGAGTATTTCAGACTTTCTTACCTTTAAGCTTGAGGTTTAATAAGCTTAAAGAATCATTTTACTTCATCCATAAAGGTGTAAGGTTACTGTAAGGTGAGAAAGGGAAATATACAGACTCATTTTTCTAATGATTTATTTAGTTGCTTATAAGTTGCCGAACTAGACTTCAAAGGAGTCTTTTGCTGTAAGTCTGGGTTCTGTCATCTTTGATGGTGCTACCTTTACTTTTAGCTTTCTTTTTTGTTGTTGTTGTTTGTTTTTGTTTTTGTTTTTGATCAGCCTGGCGTGATCTGGGCTCATTACAACCTCTGCCTCCCAGATTCAGGCGATTCTCCTGCCTCAGCCTCCTACGTAGCTGGAATTACAGGTGCCTACCAGCATGCCTGGCTAATTTTTGTATTTTTAGTAGACAGGGTTTCACCATGTTGGCCAGGCTGGTCTCAAACTCCTGACCTCAGGTGATCCCCGCCTTGGCCTCCCAAAGTGCTGGGATTACAGGTGTGAGCCAGCACGCCCAGCTTTGGTATTACAGTTTAATAAGTCAACTAGTTCTGTGAGAGTGAATAAATAGCCGTCCTCAGACCCCTCTGCCTCATAGTTTCCCTTTCCCAGAGGCAACCTCTTTCAAATCTTTTTGCTGATTCTTTGATATCTATGTCTAGATTTCTAAATCATTTTGTGCAGTTCTATTTATGTTTTGCAATTTTCAACTTTATTAACTTCTTATCTTTGTAACATAAGGATTTAACTCCCTTTACTGTGTCTCACCACTACCAAGCCTTCATGCTCCTCATTCTCCTAATACAGAGTCATGATTTAAGTTAAATCAATACAGTTTAGTGCTTTTAGTGCTTTTAATTATGCAGTTGTCCCTCCAAATCCATGGGGGATTGGTTTCAGAAACCCCCAATAGATACCAAAGTCCACAGAGGCTCAAATTCCTTATATATGGTGTAGTATTTGCTTATAACCTATGTACATCCTTCCATATACTTCTAGCATCTCTAGATTACTTAAAATACCTGGTACATTGTAAATGCTATATTAATAGTTGTTGTACTGTTATCATTTAGGGAATAATGACAAGAAAGAAAAGTCTGTACATGTTTAGTATAGACACAACCATCTTTTTTCATGTTTTTGTTTTAATAGTTTCAATTTGTCATTAACTGAATCCATGGCTGTGGAACCCAGTATACAGAACTCAAGACACAGAGTCAACTATATTTAGAGTTGTATAGTCATTAACACAGTTTAATTCTAGAATATTTTCAACACCTGAAATGAGGGTTCCAATTTCTCTGTGTTCTTGTCAACATTTGTTATTGACCATCTTTTTCATTATATTCATCCTAGCAGGTGTGTCTTAGTATCTCATTGTGGTTTTGATTTATCTTTTCCTGAAGGCCAGTGCTGTTGAACATCTTTTCATGTGCTTTGGCCATTTATACATTTGAAATGAAGTCCCTTGTCATGTAATGATTTGCAATGATTTATCCTGTGGGTTGTGTTTTTACTTTCTTGATGGTATCTCTTGATACACATAACTTTATAATTTTGACGAAGTTCGATTTATCTGGGGTTTTTTTTGTCACTTGTGCTTTTGATGTTAAATCAAAGAAACCATTGCCTGTTCTGAGGTAACAAAGATTTACTCTAATGCTTTCTTCTAGGAGTTTTTTAGTTTTAGGCTTATGATTCATTTTGAGTTTATTGTGTTATGATATGAATTAGAGATTCAAATTAATATTTTACATATGGATATATAGCTTTCTCACCTTCACTTGTTAAAGAGACTATTCTTTATCCCATTGGATTGTCATGGCACCCTTGGTAAAAATCTGCTAAAAATCAATTGACCATAAAT